GAAAATGAAAATCTGACTGTTAAAACTGCACAGGACGTAAATTCAAACGCAAACGAGGGCAGTAACTCTGAATTTGAAAAAAACTTCAATTTCACTAATTATGACGATGAAAATATTGAAGGAGCTTTTTTGAATTCAAGCATCGAAGAATCTCTAAACACAAAAGATGAATACTTGAAAGATAATACACATAGCGACTCTGAGTCTGATTTTGATTTCGAAATTGGTCCTAACGAATACTGCTTAGTTGTTGGAAGCATCGAAAATGATGTTGAGTATGAAATTGAAACTTACACATATGATGATAATGAAGGACAAACATATTTGCACCATTCTATCTCATTGCCGGAGAAACCATTAACTATCTGTTCTCTTCCTCACTTTGGATCTAACGAGCGTAAAAATTATTTAGCTGTAAATGGAGTTGGCTCTGCAATTCACATTTACGACAATGATAAAATTGGAGCATACAGCAACGATTTTGAATTAAACCATAACGAAATAAATCTAGAAGAATCAGTCACTGTATTAAAAAACGAAGATCATTTGTTATATTCAGGTTACTCTGATGGAAGCATCGTAGTTTGGGACATAATAAAAGCCAAATCTATTTTGTCATTTATCAAAGTATCAACGAGTCCTATTGTAGCTTGCGCTGTTAGCGGTAACATTGCACTGTTTTCAAACGAATTTGGCGATATATTTTGCGTTTCGGATCATAAACATTTGGTAAAGACGATTTCAATTAACCAAACTATCGACTCTATCATCCTTGCTAAAACGCCACAGCACTGTTACTTCTCTTCGAAAGATGGAGAATTAACTTATTTCAATTTCGTCAACGGTACTAAAGTATTTAGTAAATCCATTGTTGACGGAGAAATATTATGCATTGTAGAAATGAAAAAACTACCATTGCTGGTTGCGTGCTGTTCCGCTGGAGAAATCGTGATACTCCTGACCAATGAAATTCCTCACAGAACGCTGCTTACTAAAAAATTTAACCACGGACCAATCTATGATTGTGCCTTAAACATGGATAACGAACTGCTTATCGCGTTTTCTGCCAACCAGTTAATTCTATGGGACATGTCGACAGAGCCAATTTTACAATCTTTAATTAAGCAAATTTTTGCTTAATTCTTTATTGTTGTATATTTTCTGGGTTAATTGTCAGAGAGAATTTAAGATCTTTTTCTTTGGTGGGTTTATTGTTTTGTTCGCATATATAAAATAACCGAGGATATTTCATAATTAAATCAATGATAGTCGTATTTTTTTCCATATGATCAAGAATTAACTTTGTATGAGTTTTGATAAAATAATTTATGGGTCTTGAAATGTAGCCGCAATTAGCCAAATATACTTCAACCTGCGGAGTACAACTAGACGTGATAGGTATATGATTGAAAACATCGATAAAATTATATTCGTCTTTTAAATAGGCAAACGGGTAATAATTGCTCGACGGCACGAGTTGATTTTTAAGAGAAAAATATAATGTTGTGCTGTTAAAGTCTTTGCTGTCAACAAAAAACCCCATTGTATTTTGGTAGTTTTTAAATTTTTTTTTGACCGAGATTCCCTTGATTAGATCTCTGCTGTAGTTGTTTAACCGAGGAAGCCATTCATTGTGTATCGTAAAATAACTATCTTTGTGAATAGTTCTAACTTTTGAGCCTACAAAATGAGTTAAACCGTTGTTATCCGCTTTGAAAAGCTTCCGTAAATAAGCATGAACTGCGTCGGGAAGATTTGGATTAATCTTGTAAACTAAATAAACTAATCGATAATGAGTTATTCGAAACTCAAAGAACAAACGTGTTATACTGTTCGTTTTTTTTTTCATAATATGTAATTGCAATTTGGTTAGATGTTATGATGGTAAAATGCTAAAATGGGCTATCACAGTATTAATATTTGTCAAAGGCCAAATCAATTTAGTCCAAAACGAATTTTCAAAACTGTCTAAACAAGTCGTTTCTCTCGACCCAATTAATTTTTACAAAATTTCGAAACCTAAAAAATTGCTACCACTAGGTTGGTGTAATGAACAAGGACTTGGTATTGCTTTACCACTAAACGAAAATAAGTATACTACTTTAGCTGATTTTCAGTGTAAAATGCAAGAAATTCAAAACACTAAGATTTTTCTGCTATCTCAGAAACATTGGTATAAAGATTTCCAAGAACAAAACTGTATCTCTGGCGTGACAAATAAATTCTTTAAAAAAAAGAAAAAATTAAAATTGAATTTTAATAAAGCAAAAAGCAAAAAAGAGATTGAGCTGCCTGCATATTTAGGTTTTGCTTCATACAATTCATGTGGAACTAAATCAATCAAATACGAAAATCGAAAAATATTTTTTAATAAGTTTCAGCCTTTACATTCTGAACAATCTTACATAGTTTCTTGTTTTTGTAATGCATTAAATAAAGGGTCTTGCCATTCTACTGTACATGAGTTAAAAAATGTAAATAACCAGTCAACAATTACTCTTTTAAATCCTAGGGCGAAAATAGGAAAGAATCAATCTGGCAACATTAATTTCGCAAATGAACGACAAGTGGTACTAATAGAGTCGAATCTCGAAGAGAAATATTCTGTGCCTGAACGTTGCGTTCTGTATCATAAATCGCAAAATATTTCTCAAGTCTTGATCGATGGACATTGCCCAGTGGATCCGTTGTTTGATGTGAAATTTCATCCAGTGGAAGGTTCGGGAATACTTGTATTTTCATTTTATCTCGGTGGTGATATATCAGAAAATGAGCTAAAATTGAAATGTGAATTTAAAGTATTGTCGAGTAAACAATATGAACTGATCAAAGAAAATTGCCGCGAAAAAAATACTCAAAAAAAAATTGTAACGAGAAAATTATCTCAAGCCGCGTTTCACTCAGCAGGAGTGCCAACGCATAAGCCAAAATCAATGTTTGAGCCAAACAGCAATTCAATTAACAACGTTGAATATGCTGGAAAATATTATTTTGATTTATATCAAAAAGAAACAAGATCAAGACTAAAAAAGCTAGAATCAGCTCTAGCAAGTGGTGAATTTGGCAAGAGGTACGAAGAACTTGATTCGTTGAACGACTACGTCGATAACGTTTTGAAAGTCGAAATCGCTTCGCCAGAATATAAAATTCCTCTTCCAAATGTTTATACCCAAGTTAACACTAGTCGTAAGTCTTTATCTTTTTCAGAAAATCTTGTAACACGTTCAAAAGCTGTCAATATTTCTTTGCCAAATTGGTACAGCGAATCAGGGCTCGCTGACATATCTAGAATGTTCAATTATTCGTTTGGAACACGGGGAAACAACATAGATATGTCATTCGTAGATGCAACAAAAAATTATATCTTTGGTTACGGTAAAAAAAACTACGGTTTCCAAATTGATCATTCATCTGTAGGCCGATTTACGGCGTATGAAATTCGAACCCGCAATGCAAGTATCATGACAAGTTACGACGCATTGGAAAGAGCGATCGGCGGCCGGGTTTCAATCGGTAACTTTGGAGTTAGTGTAAGGCACAACTTTAATAGTTTGGTCAATCCTACGCATCCTCAGCTTGGGTCTGAGTTGTATTTCAATTACAAAAGTTTAAATGCTTGGTTTGGCGTTGACATACTTTCGACTCGTTATTACACTAGTCTGGGTGTGTTGGGTTTCAATATCGCTGCGTCGAAAGCATTTAACGCTTATGGCTCAACGTTGCAAATAAGTTGGGGAAAAGGTTGGGAAATATTTTTAGAGCACGACGACGGAGAAACGTACATAGATGGCGTGTCCGGTATGAAGGGAACTGCTGTTGGTGTGGGGAGACCTACACGAAACTATTTTTCGTTCGGTACGGGCGTTGACGCAGAAAACAATCCGCAATACGCTGCAAACATCCAACTACCCTCTGGAGCAGTAACTTTGGGATGGCTGGAAAAAAACAAGCTAAAAATAGGTCAAATGAGCGCGAACCTCGGACCTTATTCTTTTGTGTGGGAAAACACGATTGTACCGGATAGTGTGGTTGTTCCTGTGATAAAATCAAACAGCTTAATGTAATTAGTCCGATTCGTCACTGGAATAGCAGAGAAACTTGCCAATGACTTGTGTTTCGATTTTTTTAACACTATAGGTAGTGTCCTTAACAACAGTTGTTTTTGTTTTTTGTAAAACAGGTTTTAACAGCGTGTTGTAAAATGCCATTAGTTCAACATCAGTCAATGAGTTGATGAGACAGGAATAGTACTTAGTAAATGTTTCCACAATTGCTGTAGCATCTAGTGTGTCTGTAACAATGTTAGGGATAGATTTAACAATGTTAATTAGGTATCGTTTATTTGTTTCATTTTTAGTGTAAATAGTGTCAATGATTTTCATTTGGAGCTTGTGTATTAAATTTTGATTTGATGTGATGGTGACAACTTGTTCGTTTTCGTCTAGCAATGACTGCGCAAATTGCAATATTATGGTTTTAGCTCGACTTTCAAAAGTTTTTAGTATCGTTTCATTTAAGCCAGATTCTGGAGTCGTGGGGTTATTTCTGTTTGCAGAGAAATGGCTAAGTTGAGGAGCAACTAAATAAAGGCTAGCTTGTTCTACAATGAAATGACGTGAAAACATGTCTAAATGGTCTAAGAAATCAAAAGAAATATTAGGGTCGTATATTGCCAATCTGTAATTAATAAGTGGAGGATAGTTCTTGAGAATGATTAATTGTGCAACCGCTTGAATTAGCTTTCTGGACGTATTTTCGGCTAATTCATAAAAAGGAGATTGAATAGATTTGATGAAATCAGTAAGTTCGGTTTCGAAGTTATTCGGCATAAAATAAAAACATAGGAGAAAAATAAGGATTGGAAAAAACAAGTGAGTAAAGAGAAATGGAAAACACTAGTGCGATTTTAGATATAGTTTTGAATATGAATTATATTTTAACACAGTTGAAATGACATAACGGAAAAAAAAATTCAAATTAGAAAAAGCAGTTATTAAAACATGGCTATTGGAAAAAACAAGCGCATTACCAAAGCTGGTTCCGGCAATAAAAAGAAGATAGTCGACGTTTTCGCTCGAAAAGAGCATTACATCGTGAAAGCGCCATGCTACTTCAACGTAACTAACATTGGAAACACCATTGTATCCAAGTCTCATGGTTTAAACAAGTCGGAAGACTCCTTGAAAGGCCGAATCTTCGATATCAACATGGCAGACCTCCAGAAGGATGAAGGCCAGTGCCACCGTAAGGTTCAACTCATTTGCGAAGAAGTCCAGGGCCGCAACGTTTTGACTGAATTCCACGGTCTTCGAGTTACTCGCGATTACTTATGCTCGCAAATCCGCAAAAGACACACCATCATCGAGGCCAACACTGAAATAGTAACTCTCGATGGATTCACTCTTAGACTTTTCTGTTTCGGTTTCACCAAGGACACTTACGGAAAGAAAAAAATCAACTGTTACGCTAAGTCTTCTCAGCAACGTGCCATTCGTGCCCGAATGATTCGCATCATGCGTCAAGAAGCCAGCAAATACCAGCTTCGTGATCTCGTTAAATGCTTCATCCCTGAAGGTATTTCGAAGAAGATAGAAAAGGCCTGCAACGTGATATACCCACTCCACAGTGTCTCTATTTTCAAGGTCAAGGTTATCAAGAAGCCAAGACAAGATTCTTCTCGTATCTTCGAAATTCACACCGCTACTGCCGAAGCTGCTTCAGTAAACGAACCAGCCGAGGCTAAGAATCTATTGACTGCAAATCTTGCCGCCTAAACACGATATTACGTCGGTTTATTTTATAACTATATATAAAATCATATACTTATATCTAATCGTTTTCGTTACTTTTCTACGTAGTTAATACAGTAAATTTAGTTTTATTTGAGTGGTAAAACGAAATCAATTTTGTTTTTATGTTATTTAAAATTTTATTTAATTAACGCATAACGGAATTCTTTTTTAAGCATTTATTTTCAAGGATATAAAGATGGGTATTCAAACTTCTACGCAACCTCAAAGCTGCAAAGGAAACCGACGTTGCAGAAGCTGCAACAATCGCCATGGAATCGTCCGAAAATACGACATCATGATGTGCAGACAATGTTTCAGAGAGAACGCAAAAATGATAGGATTTGCTAAGTACTAACTTTTTTGGCCACCGGTCTCACTTTACCGAATCTTAGAAGACAATATTATTACTTATTTGTAGAATAACTTTATTTACTGTACGTGTCTTATTATAAAATTGTAATTCTAAACTATATATTTGTTATTCTGTAAAAAATATTATAAATAGTTATGAATTGAGCTTTACAGCTACAACAGCTGCTTTGGTGTTAACTTTGGTCTTTCACAAGCTGGAACGACGGGTCAGCGTAAAAGCTGTCGAGCGGAATTTCCATATCTTGTCCGAGGTAAACCTGCAGTCCAATGTTGGAGGCGGTATTGAACGGGGCATGTGCGTGTGGCGCCATTTTGAGTTGGGCCTTGTGGAACTCTTGAACTTCGTTGAGAATGAAACTGCCTGGGTACTTGGCAATAAGGTTATCAGCATCGAGGAAAAGCTTTGAGCCGGGCTTGGTGCGTGTTGATTGAAAGGTTTGCGACATCGCTATGTTGAAAGCGTTAATCAAAAAATTTTTAATTATCAATCAGTGTGATTATAAAATACTTTAAAACTTAGCAAAGAAATTTCACAATAAAAAGAAAAAATAAATTCTACATTTTAATACTCAAAAATTGCCTGAGGCCGGACAACATTTACTGTTAGTTAGTTTTCTTAAATTTAACAACGTGGCAGCGTCCACAATATAGTCTGTCTTTGTGTTCTGCCATTTTGACGCCTGCTGGGCAGCCTGCAATGCAGTTCAAGCGTCTGGAAACGACTTCTTCCTTGTTGATGGAGTAGTTTCTGAGAACGGCGAGCTTTACCTTCTTTTTCTTGTGGGAAACGTGCTTGGGGGTGGTGTAGTTCTTCTTCTTCTTTTTACCTTTCTTACCACCTTCTAGTGCGAAAACACTTTCGATGTGGTCTCCACTTTTTAAGTTTGCGCTTGCAAAGTCTACACAGTTTACGGACAAAATAAGCTCGTCGACGGAAAGCTTTTCAATGTTGCAAATTTCATCTAAAACGGCAGCCTTTTCGCTGTTCGAAAGGACGTAGCTTACGCCAGCTAAGTTAGTATAAGTGAGAAACATATTTTTGCCAAATTTTTTTAAACTTTTTTACAAAAATCGTTTTGTCCACCAGCCAAAAATCGTGCTTTTGTTTACCGGCAAAATATTAATTATTCCATGTGATAGAATAATTTGTCGAACATTTCTAATTATTGTTCTGTATACGCGGAGTAACAATATTTCTAAATTAATATATCTAAATATCTAAAAATTATACTAATATACCGGATCTCATAGTTGTAAAAACATTTATGCTGAGTCTTTTTGCTATTGTTGGAGAAACGTTAAAAGCTCCCATAGAAGGATGGTCCAAAAACCTTGTATGGAAATGTTCACTGTCGGCTATTGTGGGTTCGATCATTTCATTGTTCATGGCCACCATGGTCACGATCGTGCTGGTCGAAATTACCATCCACAAGCTGTTCGCGACTGTATTCGGCATTATGTTTCTTGTATTTGGAATAATTTTGATTTGCCGCGTGTATTCGATGCCTGTTCAAGACGAAGACTCAATAAAACGTAAAAATATTTTTCTTTCTCTCACTTCGATGATCGTGATATCCGGCGCGTTATGTATTTGCTTAGACAAAAAGTGGCTGGTTTCGTTTTACGCTTGGACTCGTATCTTGTTGTATACTTATATAAGCACATCCATGGCGTTTACGATTATATTCTGCTTTTTGGACTTGCTAGTCGTGGTTGTTGAATATTTCCAAATCAACCATAATAGGAACTTAATCAGAAATGACGCTCAGGCGCAAATAATGCTTTATCTGGCTACGATCATGGGATGTATTTTTGGATGGAAATTCGGCCGCCTAGGCAATTCAAACATCAAACTCTACGCCGTCAGCATTGCCATGCTCAAACGCCAAAGTGATACTTTTGTTATTGCGGCGATCTTAGGTGCATGGGCGGGATACACGAACGAGTATATCTGCAGTCAAGAAGACGGCTATATCCGAATGAAACGCGAAGAATTTGATAATGCAATTTAAGTTGTCCCACTAAACTGGTTTTTCATACGTAATAAGTTTACGTATGAAAACAGAAACACGTAAGTATGAGTCACAGTCTATTTTAGAGTTCAAATTTTATTGTGCCACAACAAATTAAAAGCACATGAACTTTAAAGACTATAACAAAGGTGAAATACCTTAACTTAAGCGATTAACGAGATTTAAGATAGAGCTAAGTTTATTACCGCCGAGTTGGATCAGAAATTCAAATATTCGGTGAGCTGCTGTGTAGAAAGTTGAATGTCAAATCAGAAATTTCTCATTTAAATAAAGTGCTGCCGTAGTTGTATATTGGCGGTTACTCATTTATCAAATGCTTCATTTGCATGTAGTCAAATTTTTTTGTTTTGAAAAATCATGGATACATTAAGCCCCATTGCAGTTAAAGCTGAAAGCTACAGAACATCAGGTTCTTTTCTTGTCAACAACGCTTTTGTTCATGAAAAGCGGCAGAGCGGCGAGCTTGTTCAAGCTCAAGGAGCGCTCAACAAAGACGTAAGATCGATGGACGAAAAAGAAAAAGAAAACCTCGTTGCAATTGATTCCTGTAAGCCACACAAAACAAGTATGGAGTTACAACTGGAAAAAGAAAAGGACACATTTGATTTGCTCCGCAAGGTTATTTCTAACTTAGCTTTGGACAAAGCCACTGTTGACGAGTTGAAGTTTAAATGTACCTACAAATACTATCAGCTCGAACTAACTAAAAAGTATTTGCAAGACCAGTTAAAACTGCTAGAAGAAATTCGCAACATTGACAAGAATACGCCATCTGCAATCCTATGTGGATCTTTGCCAAAACCAGTCAAAGTCAAGTCTAAAGCCGCATCAGCTGCTACTAAACCCGCTAGACTAAGCAAAAAGAACTCCAAGGTTGTAAATGGTCACGATGCGGCAACAACCACGCCAGATGAGAAAAAAAGCTTTGTACAAGTTGTCAATAAAGAGATTAAAGAAACATCTGTGAAGAGCAGCACAACAAACGAGAATCCCACAGTTAACTCGTTAAAAACTACAATAAAGGCAGGTAAAACTTCAAAAATTAATTCTAAACGTGCTCACGATAAATCAAGCAAAAAACCTAGCAAAAAGTAAAAAACAAGGATATAAATAAACTCAATCGCGTTTTGGACGGTTTATTAAATTTAATGAGGTGGTCTGTTAAGCTATACACGTATAGATTTACACGCGAAATTCAAATTATATTTTTTGTAAACTAGTTGCCAAATAGTTGTTTATAAAAAAGGATTATAGAGTGGAAAAATCTCTTTTCCACATTCATATTTATATTTTGTTTACTGTTTTATTTTTATGTTTCAAGTATGAGAAGCCTTGAAAACGGGCTTAGAATCTGCAGATGGACTGTAAATGACGGCGCCCAGGTATACATTGACCTGATGGGCAACATGTGGACAAATTCGCAAGCTTACACGATTAATAAGGTTGAGACCGACTTTCGAGACAAGCTTGCTCATAATATGACCGCTGGACGTCACATTGTTGACGTTATAACTGAATTTTTGTCGTCAGAGTCTACAAAAAATGATTGTTTCAAAAAAATGCACGATGTTTGGAAGATCTGTAAGTTGCCGTACGGCATTTTAAAATTGATGTGCATGGCTTTCTACAAATCTTTAACTGAAAGTGCTTTGTTGGAGTTTGTGAGTTCTAGCTCAATGATTTCAAGTTTTCAAAAAGTCGCTCTTGATAACAACTACAGCGGCAACGTGACATACTTTCAGTTCGCGGATTATTTTTCGTGCTACGTAAGTGCCTTAATGTTCTCAGCCTCACGTCAACTGTACAGCAGCAAAACATCAATCGTTATTTTAGTTAGTTCAGACCCGTTTATTTGCGTAAAGACTAATATCTACAAACAGCTAAATATAATTTTCAACACGTCAACAAAAATTTCAAATGGAAAAAATCAAAATAACCCGATCGAAGACGATAAAGTAAATTTTTATATTTATGATTTGGCGAAAGGTTGTTTGTTTCTAGACATTGCTTCCAACAAGAAATCTTCGTGCAACGTTTTGTTTCAGGTTATGCATGAGATGTTTACACAAGAACTTGATTTTACAGATCTCAACGTATTGAACAATTTTCCAGATTGTGAAAAACTATTGTACGACGTTGATCGAATTACGATTATTCTTGATGATTCAGCGATCGAGCCTAGCCGAGTATTGAAGTTTATGAGGTTACTATTTTTGCTTAATTCAATTTTGAATCATTACAAACATGTTTATGGTTCTAACGAGCTTAAAATTGTATTTTTTTCTCACTATGTAAGACTTCATACGCTACTTCAAGACTTATTTGATTTCGAAATTAATTTTGTTTCTTGTGTAGACAGTGGGATTTACAATAATACTCTGGAAACTTTTTTGCTCGAAGCTACTGAAACATCTCAGACTTGGTCTGAAATTTATTACTCAACTAAAAGAGATGTAGGATTCAATTTAAAGAAAATTTTGACTGAAGCCGCCAATAATATGGATCGCTGTTTGATCGTTATTGACAGTCTAAAATATGTCAATGCAACACTGCGAAACGAAGCAATGGACCAATTTT